AAATGAAACGATTGTGCAGATACTCTCCGGTCATGAGTAATGAAATCTTCGTGGGCACAAGAGAGGATGGCAAGTGTCTGACTATCACATCAATACCCGATCCTGTAGTCTCTTACGCGCATATTTGATGGTAGGTCGCTCCTTCCCCTTCGTCATCGTTGGTCTCAGTGTTCTTCAGGGCATCACATACGTGATGGGTAACACCACCGAGTGCGATGCCGAGTGTGCCGCCACCTATCCCGGGTCGTATTGTAAATACTGGCAGACCCCCAGCAGGTGCTTTGGCTCCAACGTCCCTTGTTCCTGCGGGTCGGGTGGAACAACTGAAGCTCCCCGTAATTGTGACGCTGGTTGTGCCTCGGATACTCCTGGCTCCTACTGCAAGTACTGGGCTACACCAAGCACCTGTCATTCATCCAATGTGCCATGCACTTGCGAGGTTGCTCCAGTTACCACTACTCCAAGTGAAGCCACCGATGAAGTCACTGAGACTACCACAATTCAGGACGGCACAACTGCCGCCCCCGAAGAAACCAATACGGCCACTTCTGTTGCTGTCGACACTACCGGAACTGTAACTACAACCGATGCGGCTGATGTTACTACCGACGCTCCTGTCGAGCCTACCACTGTTGCACAAATGACCAGCGCAGCAGCTCCCTCGGAAGTAACCACATCTCCGGATGTTACTGGAGAGGCCTCATCCACCACATTTGCTGCTACTACAACAGACGATGTCGCTACCAATGCCGCGACTACAGCTGACTTCCCAGTCACGACTATCAGTGCCGCCACCACCGTTGATGTCACCACCGAAGCCCCAGCGACAACGACAGAGGTGACCGATTCTCAGGCTACCCCCAGCCCGAGTATGTGAAAACATTTTGGAATGAAGCTTAGAAGTGTTTAATGAACCGCATTTTGACTAACCCGCGGTATCGCATGCTATCTTGATAACGAGTGAATGAGTATTGATCGATAGAGTTGCGTCGATAGAGTCGTTCGGCTTTCGCATCGCATAAGCTTCTTTCATGCAGCTCATGGGCGGTGTCGTTATGATGCATTTTAAGTATATAGTGAAACATCGCGATGACGGATGATGCTGGTCGACAAGCTGCTGTCCTTCGTAAACGCTTTCACTTTAGGTTTCGAGTAAGTAGAAAGGCGACTCGCAAGCATGGTAGGATAGTCCTCGATTTGGCAGGGAAGGAGTGTAGCGTAGCTTCGATCGACCAATTCCAACACCGAACTCATATGGACCTACCGACTGTAGTTTCCTTGTGAATGTACCGTGCAAGCACCCCTTATCGCAACCTTTGATTTCAATGGCTTAGTGTCATTCACGAAGATGGGCGATGAGAATGCAGTTGGTCTTATCAACTCAGCAATAACGTGTTGATGTTCGCAGACGTCGACATCTCGGCGATTTGGACTACCGCATGCAAACCTCAACGGTTAACCATGTTCCTGCCACAACCACTCGGCCAAAGTGTCTAACATCAACTTTAATGGGACGAGTCAGCCTATCCAAAGGGAAATCCATCCCTATATTTGCTTGCCACTAGGTATGGACTATACGGTATAGTCTATACCCACTGCGGAGCTATGACTGTTTGGTGTCATCTACCGCGCCGGTCTCTCAATGCAAATGCACCGTCAACCTCCCCAACTTCAAAAACAATCCACATCCACGGGACAAGATTTGCTCTGTAATTGCGTTATCCCCTTCACGACGAGGCTTTCGTTAAAAGCCTGTGAGCTTCGTGGAGAATGAGTGTATACCGCACTGAGCAAAGTATCTTGTGAAACGAATGGGCGATACGTATGCTCGCCACAACAAACAAGAAACAGTCAGTGAGGTTATCGACCCTGGATGCTGTGACAATTCGTAAGTTGGTAATTGTGCACATCACACTCGAGGTGTGTCTTCTCAATCATCAAGTTAGTCTCAGCTTCCCGTCGCTCATTTGCATTTGTCTATGATGGCTTCACGGTCCTTCTCCGCTGTATTCGTCGCCCTCTGTGCCTTTCAGGACATCAAGTTCGTGACGGGCAACGCCACTGACTGCGACACTGAGTGCGCGACAACTTACCCTGGGTCATATTGTAAGTATTGGAAGACGCCAAGCACTTGCTTCGGCTCGGATGCATCATGCTTCTGCGGCACGAGTGAACCGACTGAAGCTCTCCGAGGTTCCACATCCTCTGCTGCAGTGACGGATGAGATTACTGAGGCCGCTACAAGCGAAGGAGGTACGACAGCAGCTCCCGAAGCAACGAGTACGACTGGTTCTGAAGCTACTGACGAACCCACAGTAGCGGCCAGTACAGCTGTTATGACCGATGAGGTGGCTGTCACTTCTGCACCTCCTGTGACTGGCGAAGTGACCATCAGCACGGCAGCTGGAGAAGCTCCCGGTAGAGACAAGGAGGATTCTGATGCTACCACCCAGGTCGCTACGGAGGCTGCGACTGTCACGACTACGATCGATGCTCCTGTTGAGCCTACTACTATCACGTCCCCTCTACCGGTCAGTACATCCGCTGTGACCGATGAGGTCGCTGTCACTACTGCAGCTTCTGTGACTGGCGAGGTAACC